CTTTCATAATTTGGTCCAGTAACTGCTAGTAGTTTATTCTGAATTACGTCACCTAGGAAGGAAAGTCTATTAATTCTAACTTAGAGATCATCTAGGCAGTAGTATTTTATTATTATTATTATTATTATTATTATTATTATTATTATTATTATTATTATTATTATTATTATTATTATTATTATTCACACTCCTTGTTACCTGTCTTTCTTAAATTATCTTGTGAGGTTGTGATGATCATGTCATGCAGTCTGGTCAGTGACTCTGGTTGTCTTGTTCCCGTCTCTCAGTCCTTCACTATCATCATTAATTTCTTATTTTCTCGACCAGCTTTTTATTGGCTCCACTTTTGAGTCCTCAGCTGCGCCACAAGCGTAGGTGAGTACGAATGAAATGAGCGTCTGTCCGGCGCCGTCAGCAAACGGAGGATCGAGCCTTCACCGCGTCTTGCGCTGAGTGACCCATATGGGTTTAGCGCTTAACTTGAAATACTTATTTTTGTTACATATTTTCTTGCTTTTTTTGTATTTTTTTTTTGCGAGTTATCTGTTGCAGGGTTTTTAAGTGATTCTATCTCGTTCTCATTTTGATTCACAATTTTGGAGTCGCCGGTGTTGCTGCTTCTTGTATTAGCACCACTTGCTTTAGTAATGAATATGGAGAATACATTTTTGCTAATTTTACTGTAAAAAAACCTTAAGACGCCTATAACAATCGGTGCCATTTACCGGATACCCCACACAAACATCCCAAATTTCAGTGAGAAACTAAAGGCACTAATAACAAACAGACAAAATGAAACACCACCACCTTCTCTTAGCTGGAGACTTCAACATCAACCTTGGCCTACTAGATGATCAGCCTGTAACTGATTTCATCAACAATATGAACAACACACTTCTCATACCAACAATAACTAAACCAACCAGGCTCACTGAGACAAGTGCAACCATAATAGACCACATATGGACCAATATACTAGCCCCCCTTAAATCAGGGATAATCACAGATAGCACTACAGACCACTACCCTACCTTCCTCCTGACAAACATTAGTAAACCACCACTTGAATACAACAAAGTTTCATTTAGACTCCATGACGAGGCCTCAATAAGGAAGTTCACAGCTGACCTAGAGACTGTTGACTGGCCTACAGAATTCCCCAAGGCCAATGGTATTGATAACTGGACAGACATTTTTCTTAACAAATTACTTAGACTATACAACAAACATTGTCCTATAAAAACGAAACAGATCACAAACAAACGGCTTGGTTGCCCATGGCTAACCAGCACCATTCTGAAATCCATTGATAAGAAACACCAATATGAAAAGCAATATAGACAGGGCTTAATACACAAAGATATTCTTAAACACTATTCATCAGTCCTCACCAAAGTAATAAAGAAAGCCAAACAACTATACTACTCCAGTAAATTCACTGACACAAGAGGAGATATAAAAAAGACCTGGAAAACACTCTCTCAGATTCTAGGGACCCACAAACTGAAAAAAAAACAAGAAAATTGTCCTAACTAAACCTAATGAAACACCACTGCATCCCACTGACACAGCTAACAAGATAAACGACTTCTTCTCAACCATAGGTTCTAATCTCGCCAATAAAATCCCACGTACCAATGCCCATGCCGGGGACTACCTAGATGGGAATTTCCCAAATTCCTTCTATCATGCTCCAACTGAGCCCACGGAAGTCACCGAGATTGTAAAGTCACTTAAAAATAACTCAGGGAATCTGTCTCATGTCCCACCATTATTGTACAAGAGAGCTGCCCATGTCCTCTCGCATGCTATCTCATTACTTTTTAACAAGTCACTAGAAACTAGCACCTTCCCGAAACTACTCAAGACGGCAAGGGTTACACCAATACATAAAGGTGGTGACCCTACAGATTTAAACAACTATAGGCCAATATCAAACTTACCATTGCTATTCAAAATCTTTGAGAAACTCGTGCACAGGAGACTATATTCATTTATAACGGCACAAAACATACTCAACCCCTGCCAATTTGGATTCAGGAAAAATAAAAGCATTAACGATGCAATTATAAAAATGCTAGATCTGCTTTACACAGCATTGGAAAATAAGGAATATCCACTAGGAATTTTTATTGACCTAAGAAAAGCTTTTGACACAGTAGACCACGGCATCCTACTCCACAAACTTGACCATTATGGTATAAGAGGCCATGCGCTTGCATATTTCAAATCTTACCTTACTAATAGGTATCAGTATGTCACCATTAAAGACACAGCATCAACAACACAGCCACTTGATACTGGAGTTCCGCAGGGAAGTGTCCTTGGTCCCCTGCTCTTCCTCATATACATCAATGATCTTCCAAACGTATCTCAACACCTGAACCCCATTCTCTTTGCTGACGACACGACTTATGTCATCTCTCACCCTAATCTTGCCACCCTTAACACCATTGTTAATGAGGAGCTGATCAAAATATCGACCTGGATGACAGCCAATAAACTTACGCTTAACACTGACAAAACCTACTACATTATGTTTGGTAGCAGAGCAGGAGATGCGCAAATTCAATGTATGTCAAAGGCCCTAAAATCTGGAACACCCTACCTGAAAATTCTAAAACTGCAGACACATTCATCACCTTCAAAACTACCATCAGAAAACATCTTATCTCCCTGATACACCCTGTCAACTAATTACACGAATACCACCTGGTGGTTAACACTTACACTCACTCACCCATTTGACCATAAACAGAAATATCAATCTCAATCTCAAAATAATGAATCTTAACTAGTCATAAGTTGGCCTGTGATACTCCAATACTGAAACTATGTATAGTGCCAAAACAAAAGCATTCACATTGCTAAACTCACAAACTAGTATTTAGTCACTTAGCCATAATACCAACTTATCTCATAATTTTGTAATATTTTAAACGTAAGATTTAATTTAAGTCTGCCCAAAATGCCAAGCCATGCTAGGTGTTCTAGTGGTACACTCTGTAATTATTATTTTACTCATGTAAACCACACAATAACCAAATTCTGTAAACTCAGCATTGTAATCCTTATAGAGAATAAACTTTGAATTGAATTGAATTGAATCCTTGAGGGTCCTCTCATCCTTCTCTCCCCTAGGTCAGAAACTTACACCTCTCTCATCCTCTCTTATTTCTTAGCTCCCATTCCGTATTTTTTTCCTTCCTCTTTCCCCTTCACCAGTGTTATTTAATCTTGGCCCACTCTATCCACGTCTCCCTTCCCCTCTCTCTTCATACTCCTATTTATCTCTTTTATTTTTAACCTTTTAGCACGTCCGTGTCTTCCCTCACTTAATCCAGGAGACTGTCTCCCCAGACACACATTATCATGGCTTATCAGTCCACAAAGACGCTAATACTAGCACTCAAGAACTTAGGTATAATGCGCTGACGTCTTTTGATGTACTGACGTCTTCTGATGCTCTTCTCAGACTCGTCACAGTTGTATTCATCTCTTGACCAAGTCAGTAGAGTTTTCCTTTTCTTTCCCCTAATGCATTTCCCCCTGAATCCCCTTTCACCTTACTGCCTCTCTCTCTCTCTCTCTCTCTCTCTCTCTCTCTAAGGCCTTCTCCTCTCACTGACTCTGTAAGAATGGTGGAACGCTGCAGCAAGCCAGTTGACCCCATTCTTGGCAGGTTCTTCTCCAGTCCATGCTTTCCTTGATGTTGGTGAGGGCTCTTGATTTAGGGAATTGGATCTGTGCTCCAGTTCCCCGAATTAAGCCTGAATGACTTCCACATCCCCCCCAGGCGCTGTATAATCCTCCGGGTTTAGCGCTTCCCCCTTGATTTTAATAATAATAATCCAGTCCATGCTCGGACTACACACCTTTTGGTAACAGATGTAAACATTGATAATAGACACCGAGAAAATGGTTTAGAAAAACACGTGAGCAAGCATCAGGACATATTTATTGGAGAACGTATCGGTCCTAGGACCTTCGTCACTTCTAGGTTAGAAGTGATTAAGGTCCCAGGACCGAAACGTTTTCGAATAAATATGTCCTAGTGCTTACTGACGTGTCTTTCCAAGGCATAGACAAGATTATCTATCAGGTCTGTTCTCAAAGATACCCAATGAATCATCTTCAATAGGCATCTCAGTCTTTTATTTTCAATCCTTTACTCTGCACATTCTTCTCTACTCTTGACTTATTGCTAATATTTACTCTATCTTGTGTGATGGATATTCAGTCTCTTCTTGGGCTGTTGTACATAAATGGTAGACAGTACCAACAAGACGGAGAATTAGACACAAGAACAACATCTGTAGACTTTTCGCCAACCAGTGGCTTTATGAATACAGTAAAAAGATATAATGTGAAGATGAGGTAATTGGTCCCTCAGTCTTGGAGTTGGTGATGAGCACCGTAGTCACTGAAGAAGAAAAAAGTGTTAAATTTAGTAATTTATAGAGGAGAAGGGGTTATTGAACCCAGGTTTGAAATGTGAAAACACACAAGTATGAATTTAAAGTATACATTAGTTTAATCTGTCGAAAGTGTGGAATTAAGCAGAAACAATTCACCTAATTGAAATAGCGTTGCGTTCCTCACTGAGAGAGTTTATACACAAAGGTAAAAAGAGACAAAAATATGCCAGCGTTTCGCGAAATTTTTATTGAAAAAGTTTTAGCTCTGGGGGCTTCGTCTCTTCGTTTGTTCGGTCCTGGAACCGAGCAAACACGTCCTCAGGGATTGTATTTTGTGTCCTTTTCTTACACTGGGTGATGGTATGACGTAGCTCTACAACCACAACTAGGTCAGCACATAACACCAGAGTCCTGGGGAATTACCACGGATGAAACTTACAATAAACACTTGAATCCCCGACTTATGGTACACGGACACGCCCCGGCCAAATGAATGTTGTCTCTCGTGATCCTTGGAACAAACTAAGCCTTCAGCCATATTATATATATATATATATATATATAATATATATATATATATATATATATGTGTGTGTGTGTGTGTGTGTGTGTGTGTGTGTGTGTGTGTGTGTGTGTGTTAGGCGGTATTCATATCGTTTACTAATAACTAGCAGATGATGTGTCTTCCACAGTGTAGCAAGGGAGTGGCTTCCAGGATCCCAGGGCCACACTACACACTACCATGGCCACTATACCCATCATGTCCACCATGCCCATCATGTCCACCATGCCCATCATGGCCACCATGCCTATATTGCTACGTGTGAAGCCAAACGTATCTGAATTGGACGACCTGGGTCGTTCTATGACCAAGAAGTTGGAGGAGGAACTGGCATCGCATCTTGGCTTCAACACGTCGACAATTTACGACGATGAATGGTACACCTTCGCGCCGAACACGTTCCCCGGCAGCTCCGACAACGAGGCGACAACCCCACTGGGAAACGACTACCGCAACTCAGCGCTGGCGGTGGTGGAAATCGCGGTGCTGGTGGTGATTCTTGTGGTGGCTGTCATTGGTAATGTCTTCGTACTGATCGCCCTCTGGCGTCATTCCCTCCTGCGGCCCATGTCTCGCTGTTACCTATTCATGTTGCACCTGAGTCTGGCAGACCTGTTGGTCGCTCTGCTCAACATCCTGCCGCAGCTCATCTGGGAGATCACCTACCGCTTTCGTGGTTCCGACTTGCTGTGCCGCCTCGTCAAGTACGCCCAGGTGTTCGTACTTTATGTTTCCACATACATGCTGGTCTTCATGGCAGTAGATCGAGCCCGTGCTGTGCAGGGCAGTGGTCGTGGGTCCCTGAGGGCGGCGAGGCTCATGGTCTGCGGGGCATGGGCTCTTGGTCTGCTGCTAGCCACGCCTCAGACTCTGCTCTTCGCCGTGCGGGAGATCGAACCCGGGGTTCACGACTGCTGGGTGATCTTTGAGCTGGTGAGTGAGCGCATGTACGTGACGTGGTTCGTTGTGTCCGTTTTTCTAGTGCCGCTGGCCATCATCGCCCTCTGCTACGGCTACATCTGCTGGGCAGTGTGGCACAGTGCCGGCACGCCCTGGCCCCCACCCTCCTTAAGGCGAGGCTGCTGCGGCTGCCTGAAGGAGAGTGCCACCGGTCGAAGGAGAACCATGAGCCTCGAGTTACAGCCCATTCCCAGAAGGTGCGACTCGCGGCCCCGTCCAGCCATGTCCCTGGCCGTAGACAAGGTGTCGACGGCCAAGATGAAGACGGTTCGCATGACCCTGACCATCGTCTTCGCCTTCGTCATCTGCTGGGCTCCCTTCTGCATCGCCCAGCTCCTCACCGTCTACAACAAGCCTGAAGACTGTGAGTATTGTCAAGAACCTTTGTTCTTCATCTCAGAAACTGCGAGTGTTCGCCACCTCTTGTCTTCCTCTTCCCCAGTTCGAGGACCATAAGTACAATCACCATACATTGTCGATCTCCGCCTCCTCCTCCTCCTCCTCCTCCTCCTCCTCCTCCTCTTCCTCCTCTTCCTCCTTCTCCTCCTCTTCGCCTCATGTTAAAACACATTCATGTGCTCTTTAAAACATCCACCTATAAAAGAAATTTACTTTCTTTCTGCATGCAGGAACTTTCTCTCCCGTTTATCTCCCTCTCTCCCCGCCCCTCTACACACGCCCACACATATATAGACACAACATACACAAGAAACTTGTGCTGAAGCTACGTTTCCTTCAGGATGGAGTTCTACCTGAGTGAAACGTAGTCTCATTAAAAACTTTTTTGGTTATTTGATCGGCATATGTGATTTCAAGCCGATCAGTTTCACGAGAGTCATTAATGAACGCTGCTTGTCACCTGTTTACTTTGGTCATCTGTCACCTTTTTAAATGAATTAAAATAAGCTTTCAGTGTATAAACACTGAGAGAATACACCTCTGGGTGTATATATCCACTAATACATAGTGTTTTACACCATTACACTTATATACACATGCACACACACACACACACACACACACACACACACACACACACACACACACACACACACACACACACACACACACACACACACACAATCCAAATTAGCCTCTTTATTTCTGCTTGTTGCACTTAATAAAAAATCCACGGTGCTAATCGACATATGAAATAATTAATTTGTTGCATTGGTCATTCCTTGTGTATTTGTTTTCTTCGATATCTTAGCTAATTTTTTTAGGATACGTCAGGATGTGTCAAAATTTAGCGAGGGATCAGACCCTTGTGACTCAGAATAAAAAGAAACAACTTGCTCGTAGGTCTGGGCATTGAACCGGGCCGGGGGGGGGCGTTGACCCCCCCGGAACACCCTCCTTTAAAAGAATTGCTATGAGGCCTAAAAAAAAAAGATTTTTTTCATATAGTTTTATGACCGACACGATTAATAATAATAAAAATAATAATATAATAATAATAATAATAATAATAATAATAATAATAATAACAATAATAAAATAATAATAATAATAATAATAATAATAATAATAATAATAATAATAATGATAATAATAATAATAATAACAATAACAATAATAATAATAATAATAATAATAATAATAATAATAATAATAACAATAATAAGAACCTCTAGTTTACCGTCTTCAGATTTGTTTATTATAAAACTTTATATTATGAATAAATCTGGCTCATCGCCGCTGCTAGTGATGTGGTGGTGGTGGTGGTGGTGTGTGGTGGTGGTGGTGGTGGTGGTGGTGGTGGTGGTGGTGGTGGTGGTGGGTGGTGGTGTGGTGGTGTGGTGGTGATGGTGGTGGTGTGGTGGTGTGGTGGTGGTGGTGGTGGTGGTGGTGTGGTGGGGTGTGGTGGTGGGTGGTGGTGTGGTGGTTGTGGTGGTGTGGTGGTGTGGTGGTGGTGGAGTGGTGTGGTGGTGTGGTGGTGTGGTGGTGTGGTGGTGGTGGTGGTGTGGTGGTGGTGTGTGGTGTGTGTGGTGTGGTGGTGTGGTGGTGGTGTGGTGTGTGGTGGTGGGGTGGGGGGGGGGGGTGGTGGTGTGGTGGTGGTGGTGGTGGTGGTGGTGGTGGGGTGGGGGGGTGGTGTGGTTGGTGGTGGTGGTGTGGTGGTGGTGGGGTTTGGGGGGGTGGGTGGTGGTGGGTGGTGGTGTGTGGTGGTGGTGTGTGGTGGTGGTGGTTGGTGTGGGTGGTGGTGGTGGTGTGGTGGTGGTGTGGTGGTGGTGGTGTGGGGTGGTGGTGTGGTGGTGGGTGGTGGTGGGTGTGGGGTGGTGTGGTGGTGGTGGGGTGGTGGTGGTGGGTGGTGTGGTGGTGGTGTGGTGTGGTGTGTGTGGTGGTGTGTGGTGTGGTGGTGGTGGTGGGTGGTGGTGGTGGGTGGTGGTGGGTGGTTGGTGGTGGGTGGTGGTGGTGGTGGTGGGGGTGGTGGTGGTGGTGGTGGTGGTGGTGGTGGTGGTGGTGGGTGGTGGTGGGTGGTGTGTGTGGGTGGTGGTGGGGTGTGGGGTGGTGGTGGTGGGTGGTGGTGGTGGTGGTGGTGGTGGTGTGTGGTGGTGGTGGGTGGTGGTGGTGTGGTGGTGTGGTGTTGGTGGGGTGGTGGTTGGTGTGGGTGGTGGTGGTGTGGTGGTGGTGGTGTGGGTGGTGGTGGTGGTGGTGGTGGTGGTGTGGTGGTGGTGGGTGGTGGTGGGGTGGTGGTGGTGGTGGTGGTGGTTGGGGTGTGGTGGGGGGGGGTGGTGGTGGTGGTGTGGTGGTGGTGGTGGTGGTGGTGGTGGTGGTGGGTGGTGGTGGGGGTGGTGGTGGTGGGGGTGGGGTGGTGGTGGTGGTGGTTTGGGGTGGTGGTGGTGGTGGGGTGGTGTGTGGTGGGTGGTGGGGGTGGTGGTGGTGGGGTGGGTGGTGGTGTGGTGAGGGTGGTGGTGGGGTGGTGGTGGTGGGTGGGTGGTGGGGGTGGGGTGGTGGTGGTGGGGTGGGGGTGGGTGGTGGTGGGGGGTGGTGGTGGTGGTGGTGGTGGTGGTGGTGTGGTGGTGGTGGGGTGGTGGTGGGGGGTGGGTGGTGGTGTGGGTGGTGGGGTGGTGGGGTGGGGGGTGGTGGGGTGGTGGTGGTGGTGGGGGGTGGTGGTGGTGGGGGGGGGTGGGGTGGGGTGTGGTGGTGGTGGTGGTGGGGTGTGGGGTGGGGGGTTGGGGGTGGGGTGGTGGTGGTGGTGGTGGTGTGGGGTGGTGGGGGTGGTGGGGTGGTGGTGGGGGGGGGTGGTGGGTGTGGTGGTGGTGGTGGGGGTGGGGGGTGGTGGGTGGGTGTTGGGGGTGTGGGGGTGGTGTGGTGGTGGTGGGGTGGTGGGGGTGGGTGGGTGGTGAGGGTGGTGGTGGGTGGTGGTTGTATGTGGTGGTGGTGGGGTAGAGTGTTGGGTGGTGGTGTGGATGGTGGAGTGGTGGTGGGTGGGTGGGGTGGGGTGTTGGTTTTGGGTGGTGGGGGGGAGTGTGGTGGTGGTGGGGTGGTGGGTGGGGTGGGTGTGTGGTGGTGTGGTGTGGGGGGGGTGTGTGTGGTGGTGGGTTTGGGGTTTTGGGTGGGATAAGGTGGTGTGGTGGTGTGGGGTGGTGGGGTGGGGGTGGTGGTGTGTGGTGGTGGGGTGGGGGTGGTGGGGTGAGGAGTGTGGTGGGGGGGGTGAGGTGTGGTGGGTGTGGTGGTGGTGGGTGTGGTGTGGTGGGGGGGGGGGGGTGGTGGGGTGGGGTGGTGGGTGGGGTGATGGGGGTGGTGGGGTGGGAGGTGGGGGTGGTGGTTGGTGGTGGATGTGTTGTGGGTGTGGTGTGTGGGTGGTGGGTGTGGTGGGGGGGTGTGTGTGTGTGATTAGAGATGGTGGGGGTGGTGGGTGGTGGTGGTGGTGTGAGTGATGGTGTATAGGTGATTGACTTATTATATCATTAGTCTTGGTAGTCGATAGAAGGGTTGTTCTGCCTGACGTCTTACAACGGAATAACCTACCCGTTTTGAATAATACATGTTTATTTTAAAAAATTTAAAATAAAAAAAAAAAAATGAATGTCATTCACTAATTAATAATAATAATAATAATAATAATAATAATAATAATAATAATAATAATAATAATAATAATAATAATAATGGTAATAATATACACCGTGAGGCCTTACAGTGAGGCTCTGTTATGGACATTCGTTATAACAAGAGTTACATGTTCACTTCCTGTATGAATGTATAACGTAGCCAGGTTATGGTTCTTGTGTTCTGTCTGTATGTCACCGACGTCAAGAGCCCATCACCGACATCAGCACTACATCACCGACATCAGCACTACATCACCGACATCAGCACTCCATCACCGACAACAACACCCCATCACCAACATCAACACCCCATCACCAGCATCAACACCCCATCACCAACACCCCATCACCAACATCAACACCCCATTACCACCATCACCCCCCATCACTGACATTAACACCTCATCATCAACATCAAACCCCATCACCGACATCAACGCCCCATCACCAACATCAACACCACATCACCGACATCAACACCCCATCACCAGCATCAACACCCCCATCACCAACATCAACACCCCATTACCACCATCAACACCCATCACTGACATTAACACCTCATCATCAACATCAACACCCCATCACCGACATCAACGCCCCATCACCAACATCAGCACCACATCACCGACATCAACGCCCCCATCACCAACATCAACACCCCCATCACCAGCATCAACACCCCATCACCAACACCCCATCACCAACACCCCATTACCACCATCAACACCCCATCACTGACATTTACACCCCATCACCGACACAACGCCACATCACCAACATCAACACCCCATCACCGACATCAACGCCCCATCACCAACATCATCACCCCATCACCGACATCAACACCTCATCATCAACATCAACACACCCTCTTCCCCTCTTCTCAGAACACTAGCCACCATCAGGCAATGTATACCAGTATAAATTCCTCTGTGCCTGTCTATGTATATCTGTGTACGCCTGTTGTATTAAGCTCCTCAGACAGCAGGTTACATTTCAAGCTCAGTGGAAGTTATTCTCATATATGTATGCTAATTTCTTTCAGAAATCCTCATGCTATATCGTTTGTATTAAATTTTATAGTGTTGCGTATGCAAATGCCTTTTCCCGTTTGATTAAAAGTTATTCTAGAAGCTTATTACTACTACTACGACTACTGCTACGACTGCTACTACGACTACTGCTACGACTATTACTACGACTACTACTACTACTACTACTAATAATAATAATAATGTAATGTCAATGCCGGAACGAAAAGTAACGTGCTGAGCTCAGCTCTGTGGTAATTTCAGCTCTTTGCTAA